TAGTCCAACCCATCCTCAAAGTATGAGTTCTACATACACCATTCATTGGATGTAATCATCCAGTCTCTGTATACCTCTAATGGTGGAAGCTCCCTATTCCCTTAGTCTGCCTCCGACAATGGCTGGACAGCTCTTACGGTTAGGAAGGTTCTCCTTAGAAAAGATAGAAATCTGTATTGCTATACCTGCTACCTACTGCTCCTGGTGCTGCCCTCAGAGGTCAAGCAGAATAACCTTAATCCCTCTTCCTCATGACTTCCCCTCAGACAGTTGAAGACAGGAACAGCCAGGTGGTGCAGTGGATAGAGTACTGGGCTTGGAATCAGGAAGACTCAACTTCAGTGAGTTCAAATCTGGCCTCAGACACTAGCTGGGTGACCCTGGATGAGGCACTTAACTCTATTTGACTTGGTTTCCTCATATGTAAAATGAGCTAGAGACAGAAATGGCAACCCCCCCCCCCCGGTATCTTTGCCAAGGGAATCCTAAACGAGGCCATGAAGAGTCAGACACAACTGAAAGGACTGAACAACAACAAATGTGAAGACAGACGATCATGTCTTCTTTGGGTCTTTTCTCCTTCTGGTTAAACATCCCCCATTCCATTACTTGATCCGGTAATGGCATGGTCTCTAATCCCCTCACAATCTTCCAAGTTACCCTCCATAAGAGAGGCAAGGATATGGACTGGAGACAATGTAGGAAGGCTTCAGGGAGCAGGTACCATTTGAGCTGCACTTTGAAGGACCAGAAGGACAAATAGAGATCATAGACTCACAGAAAGTTAGTACTGGAAAGAACTTTAGAGATCATCTAGCAGATGCCTTCATTTTACTGTTGAGAAAATTGAGTTTCAGAGGATGGAAGTGACTTGACCAAAGTCATATAGCTAGAAAGTGGCAGAGCCTGGATTCAAACCAGGTCTACTGATCCAAATGGGGTGCTAGTACCATCATATCACAGTTCCCTGGGGGGTAAAGAATGGGTCAGAGGCAGAGGGGAAGTGGTAGAGAGAATGGGGAGGGGAATTCTGGGTGAAGGAAACAGTTGTACCAAAGATTCTGATGCAGGAAAGCATTTGGACACAGGTTTCTGGGATAAGAAGAGAGCGCTGTATGGACATGTATACAGAAAATGATGTGCTCTGTCCCCCAAAACCTCATATACCTTTTAGAATACAGTTGTATTTTCATTTGGTCCAGCTAGGAAATAGGGAATGGTCTTTCTTCCCACAATATTGACCTGGCTACCCCTTACCCTATCCAGATTCCCTCTTGTTGGAGCAGGAAAGAAGACTGAGAAAAAGGAAGTAGATCTGGGACTCTAATCCAAGCTGCTCTGGAAACCAATAATGCTGAGCTCAGCGTCTGCTCATGGCCCAAGAAGGCTGATTATTTTTAGATAAGATGAAGGCAAGGGGATCACAGTGTGTGTGTGTGTGTGTGTGTGTGTGTGTGTGTGTGTGTATGTGTGTGTGTGCGCGTGCGCTACTGATGAGAGCTGGTACAGGCAGTTGTTGAAGTGGGGAGGTCAGAGCCCAGCAAGGATCTCCTGCCCTGTATTTCTAACCCCTGAAATGGGAAGGGACACTCATGGAAGGCGTGTATCCTGGACCAGTCTGATTTCCAGATGCAGAGAGGTGACTTTTGGGGGCAGGGTGGGATGGAGGCTTGAGGGGTGCCCATCACCCCTTGGGGGGTAGAGTGGAGAACACCTAGGCTGAGATTCTGTGATAAGGAGTTACACAATAGCTGGACAAGGCTAGGGAGAGGAAGGAGTGAAGAAGACAGATCTGGACCCCTGCATTGGCTCATGGGTAATTTTCCAGGAGATGAAGGCACAATGGATAGCTGGAAGCTTTGAGGAAGGGAAGGCTGATGTGTGCCCTCTCAGCAAACAGGTACCTATCTAACTCACAGACTCATGGAATGTCAGAGCTTGAAGGGCCCTTAGACATAGAATGTTGGAGTTAGGAGGGACCTTAAAATATAGAATGTAAAGAGCTAGAAGAGAATCATAGAATCATGGAATTTCTTAATTGAAAGATTCGTTGACTATTATCTGTTCCACCTTTCTATTTTAGCATTCAAGGCTCAGGTGGAGAAAGTAACTTGCTTTGTGGAGTTAATAGCTGAGCTGGGTCTAGACCCCACATCTTCTGGCTATCTGTCCAGTGCTTTTTCCACAACAGGAAACTCTCTCACATGGAACTGGAAGGGACCTTAGAGACTGCTTCTGATTTTTCCCACAATTTTGTGCCATTCAGTTGCGTGGTTCCTTAGAAAGTGCCTAGGACTGATAGAAAGGAAACCTGGGATCCAACTCTGCCACTAATTCTTGTTATGACTGAGGGTTGATAAGTCACCACTCCTTTCTGGGCCTCAGTTTCCTCAAATATAAAATATGGAAATTGGACTACATGTCCTCCAAAGTCCCTTCCACTTTTGGCCTTCTGTATCCTCTTGTCTTGTCCAACCTGATCATTTTACATGTGCACATGCATCTGTGCCAGAGCATGAGTATGTGCTATGTGTATGTGAATTCATTCATGTGTTCAATGTGTACTGAATGGATGTATGTACACAGGGGGCAGGCATACTCCGAGATATGTGCCCACAGCCCCCTAACAAATCAGACACTACCTATGTCCAAATGGGTAGGTTTCTTAATCTCTCAGCCCCAGTTTGTTCATCTGTAAAATGGGAATAATGACATATTCTGCAGCATTTAGCCTCACAGGGCTGTAGTAAAGAACAAATGAGATCATGTGTATAAAACACTTTGCAAACTTTGCGGCCCTTCATCAGTTATTGTTACTACCCTGAGAAACACACAGTTGATGCTTGGACCAGAGAGCCAGGAGAGAGGAGAATGACTCAGAGCTTCCTTCCTGCCCATGAGTACATATGTGTGCTCCATCTCCCCCCAGCTGCTGGTGCTTTCCTACTGAACTTACCTTGTATTTACTTGCCATATTTTGAATATACTTATAGAAGGTGTCCCAAAAGTCTCAGTACTATTTCAAGATTTAATTTAAAGTAAGCTTTAAATTAAAACTTATAACCGAACTTTTGAGATGCCTTGTATATATGCCTATGGGTTTCCTCAACAGAATGTTAGTTCCTCAAGGGTGGGGGCTATTTTTTTTTCCTTTGTATCGTCAGCACCTAGCACAGTACCTGACACATAGTAGGTGCTCAGTAAGAGTTTATTGATTGGCTGATTGATCAATCACTACCCTCTCTCCCTATACCAGCAAAGGCCGGGCATTTTGGGAGGTAATGTGGAACCAACGTGGTATGGTGGAATGAGTTCCAGATCTGGCGTCAGGAGACCTGGGTTTGCATGCAGGCTCTGCCACTGTCCAGTAGTGTGAATTTAGGCAAGCCTCTTCATGTCTCTGGGCCTCAGTTTCCACATCTGCAAAATGGGGGCAGCAGTAAGTACTGCCAACACCCACCTCAAAGGATGAATGGGAAAAACGCTCTCTGTAAAGTTTCCAGCACTAAAGATGATGGGGTTGTTATGTTATGATTCTTGGTGTCCTCCAGGGTCCAGGAACCCTCTGGGCGGTTGAAAGCAGGAGGAGGATGGAAGAGAGAGGAGGGAGGAGGTTCAGCATAAGCCAGGCCTGGTTAAAGGCGCCACTGGGCCGGAGGTCGGGAGCTTCCTTGATTCCGGGCAGCCGGCAGGCGGGTGCTGGGGAGGCGAGGGAGCCCATTTATCACCGTCTGGGCGGGAGAGGGAGCTCTGGCGGGCGGGCAGAGGCCGCCGAGACTGTCCATTAACTCAGCAAATCAGATTACGTCAGGGAGCCATTAGTGTAAGGCTGTCACTATGGCAACGGGCCCAGCACTCCGACCCTGCCTGGTCACCAGCTATTAACTTTTTAACCATCTGTGGTAGGGGATGGCCTTTCCCCATCACCAACCCCCGCATACAGGACCACCATCCTAACTCCATCCCCAAATAGGGGCCAGGTTATCACCTTGCCACCTGCTCCTGTCTGGCCTCTGGAATGGGGCAGGATTCCCTAAAGAAGCCAAGAGATCAGACTGGGCATTAGGACACCCTCCCCAGAGGGAAGAGAGAAGTGGACTGGAGGTCAACCATAGCAAGAGAAGCAAGCTGGGAATGTCCAAAGGATGCCCAGCTGGGAGCAGAGGGCCCTGAACCTGGAATCAGGAAGAGAGATCCCTCCTCAGACACATACTAGCTATGTGATCCTGGCCACGCCTCTTGTCTTTTCTCTGATTGAGTTTCCTCATCTTAAAATAAGAGATTGGGACTCTTTGGTCTGTAGGGCACTTCCCAGCTTTAAATCTATGATCATCTAGGATTGGAACCCATGAGGTTGGCACCTAAGCTACTCCAGGGGAATAGGGATGGGCATGTAGGCTGCTCTGGGCCAACTGGTAGAGACATGCTAGAAAGTGCTCTCGACTGGAAGTCAAGAGATCAGAGTTTTACTCTCTGTTCTCTCACTTGGTATATTCATGACTGTGGCAGTCACTTGACCCAAACCTCAGTTTCTTCATTTATATACAAATAAATGAAGAATCTGTGATTTTAGCAGTGGGTGGAAACTCTTAGAGTAGGAGGTCCCTCCACCCAAGCAAACCAAAACCAGTCAGTGGCTTAGTAAATAAGTCTTTGGAAAGTTGTCTGAATCATAGTGGTTCAGTGACTTGCCTTGGGTTGCACATCCACTGAAAGGTAAGATTTGAATGCAGGTCTTCCTAATTCTAAGCCTAGCACTCTTATCCATTAATGCCTCTTTTTTTCCCTCATCTATAAAATAGAGATTATAGATTCATAGATTTATTTGCTTTACCTATCGTGAAAGGTTGTTGTGGGGGGTCAAACAAGATAACGTATATAAAAGTGCTTTGAAAATTTAAGTGCTAAAAAATGTGACTCTTTATCATTGTTATTATTCCTTGTGGCAAACATAGGGGGAAAGGAGTTTTCAATGCCTTGTCTCTCTTCTCTCATTTCAGACTCAGAGCAGAGCGGTAGCCCCCGGGCAGGAATGGGCTCTGACCAAGAAGACAGTAAGCCCATCACACTGGGTAAGTGGAGGAATGAGAACATCAGCGATAGGGAGAGGGCAAGACTCATGGTGCTCCTCACTTGCTGTATGTAACCCCAAGCATGACATTTGCCCACTCTTTGCCTCAATTTCCTAGGTAATCTTTAAGGGCCCTTCTAACCTATGATGTATTAGAAAGAGCACAGGATTGGGAATCAGAGGATCTGGGTTCAAATTCCCAGCTTTACTGCTTATTGCCTGTGTGACCTTGGGCAAATCATTTTATCTCCCTATGCCTCAGTTTCCCCTATTCTTTAGGGTCCTGTATAGTTCTATCTAAATTCTATGATTCTGTAATGATAAAAATTCTCTAAGAGGCCTCAGTCCTTGGCAAACAAATTAATCCTTCCCCCCTCTAGAGTCTCAGTGATTTGAACCTGGCCCACCCCAATCTTCTACCTCCCAGGTTAGCGATGAAGCCTGGGTCTCTCTGTCTTGTTACTTACAGTCATTTATGAGACAGTGTGAAAGATATAGAGGTAGATAAGCCTTTGCCCCTGCCTTCAGAGAGCAGAAGGGGACTATTGTACAACATAGTATTATGATCAAAGGTAAGACAGATATTGCTAAAGTAAAGGTGTGAACAGGTGGGAAGTCGAGGGGCAGGTTCATTAGCGTTTAGCTTTCTAGACACAGCAGACACTGGCTATAACTCTACATGGCCATATGACCAGTGGTTAGTAAGGGGCTTGGCACACCCCTGTGGTTGGAGGTTCCAGGGCCCCAGTCATCTCCACTCTCCCTATCACCCAACATGTCCTCTGCCAGCAAGAATCCACAAATCCCAAACCACCACACTTCTGGTTCATAAATGTCAGAGCTGGAAGGAACCTTAAAAAACACTTAGTAGTTCAACCCCCTCATTTGACAGGAGAGGAAACAGCCCCACAGAGGGGAAGCAACAAGGCCAAGGTCGCACAGATATATGTGGCTGGCTGATCCAAGATTCTGACTCCCAAGTCCAGTGCTGATTTCACTACTCCCACTGGCTGCCTTTGTCCACTCCACAAAGAAACTCCCCTTGGACTCAGCCTGTCAGGCAGAGGAAGTCAAGTCCCACCCCCTCCCTCCCTGGCCAGGGAGTCCTCCAGAGAGCGAGCCTGTCCACTACAGAAACAGGAAATCCTGGGCCAGGGAGAGGCCAACGCAGAGGAAGGAGGGAGGGAGGGAGAGAGGGAGGGACCGAGGGAGCTGGTGGCTGGGTAGGCAGTAAGAGGGGAAATGCTTTGGTTGCAGTGGGGCAGCTGGGACAGGCTGCCAAGAGGAAACTGCTGGCAGGCCTTGGGGGGGTGGGGAGGGAGGGCCGGTAATCACCTCTCCCTCAGCCAGTCCCAGACTCAGTACCTCCTCACACCACCCCTAGCCTATGGCCCTGCCTGACCCCTTTTAGAGGGAGGGCATCCTACTCATATTGGCCCAGGGCAAGAGTGAAGGATCCCCCTGGTCCCAGGAGGGAACTGGAAACCAGGCCCCTGAGGGGGGCGGGGTGTTGAAGGAACTGGGGATATTTAGCCTAGAGAGGAGACTTAAGGAAAAGAAAACCAAACTTCCTAACAATTTGAGTGATCCATCAGGAGAATGGACTGCATTAAGAGATCATGAGTTCTGCTCACCCTCCACTCCACCCCCATCATTATCATCCGTCTTTAAGCAGAGCTGGCTGACCACTTTGAGGCTGGGGAGGGAATTGTAGAAGGGATTCCTGGTCAGGTTTATGGGCTGGGCTAGATGGTCTCTGAGGCCCCTTCCAACTCGGAGTGAATGCATTGAGAACATTCTAACACCATAAAGTCCTGCCTCAGGTCACTTAGTCAATAAGGATTTACTCGAGTAGCCCAGGGATCTGCTCTGCCCAAGAGACAGAAGACCTCAGCACTCAGGGAACTGCTGTCAAGCTGAAGAGCTATTACCATGCCTAGGTGTTAGACTGTGTGCTACAAACAACAGCTAGGCACTATGGTGGACGGAACATCGGACCTGGAGTCAGGAAGACTGCCTCAGATACTTCTTGGCTATGACTGTGGGCAAGTCACTTAACCTTTGCTTCCGCTTCCTCACCTGTGAAATGGAGATAAAAATAGTACCTACCTCCCAAGTTGTTGTGAGGATTAAATGAGATAATAATATTAGTGGAGCGCTTTGCAAACCTGAAAGTACTATATGAATGCTAGCTATTATTATAAGAGGAGCCCAGAGGGGCAGCTTGGTGGTACAGTAGATAGAGCACCAGCCTTGGTGTCAGGAGGACCCAAGTTCAAATCCAGCCTCAGACACTTACCAGCTGTATGACCCTGGGCAGGTCACTTAACCCTGATTGCCTCCAAAAAGAAAAAAATAAAAAGGAGTCCAGAGAAGGAGGCCACTGTTGAACAGCTTAGGGCAATCAGAGAGGCCTTCCTGGTGGAGGTGGAGGTTGGGCACTGAAGGATGGGTTCGATGGAGGGGGGGCATTCCAAGATTAAGATCAGTATATACTTTTGGAAGTAGGACTAAGTCTGGTGTATATTGGGTGGAACTGTAGAGGACCCATCTATGTGGATTGGAGTAGATGAAAGGTTGGAGATGGAAGATGGTGCTGGAAGTTTGTAGGCTCTAGAGGATACATCCTGGATTAGGTAGGGACCGTAGGAATGGTGAGGAGGACAGAAAACTATTTTGAGACATTTTGAAGGAAGAAATGAGAGGACAGAATTCTGAGACAGACTGAATAAAGGAAAGTGAAGAAAGGTCAGAGTCTGTCTGTCAGTAAAGATTTATCACGTGCTCACTGTGTACCAGGCATGGTGCTAAGCACCGGGGACCCAAAGACGGCCAGAGCGTGGGCCCTGCCTACACGGAGCTCAGAATCTAAAGGGAGAGACAACTGTGCACAGACAAGTGTCCGCACAGGGATTTGCAGTTTCCTGGGCCCTGGGAGAATGGCACTGAAGGTGGAAATTAGGAGAATGTATTTTCAGAGAGGGTAATGACATGCCAGGACATACAGAGGGAGATGTCCTGCAGGAACGTTCAGACATGGGACCTAGCCTCAAGAGAAACAACAAGGCCAGAAATGAAGTATGGGGGTCATTGAAAAGAGGAGAAAGCTGAAGAAGACAGCAGATGAGGTCTTCCGGGGAGTCTGAGGAAAACCCATGGTTAGAGGACAAGACAGACCATTCCTAAGGAATCTAGGGAGCAGGAAATAGGACATTCTTAAGGAGCCTCTGGGACAATCTAGGATTAGAGAAGTGAAAAGGGGCAGTGGGGGAGGTGGCGGGGGAGAGACTCTATCTAGGAAGGATGAGGACAGACTGTCTCCAGGAGGGCCATCCACAGGTGGTGAAGATGCCAGAACAATACCTAAGGGATGCTGGGACAAAGCATAAATTTAGGGAGTCAGACAATTGCTGCCCCCTGGTGGAGAAAATTGGGGGGGAGGGGACACACACACACACACACACACACACACACACACACACACACACACAACCTCAACCATCTTCCCTCACCATCCATAGCACTTGGGCCTTAGGCCCAACCAGAGTTCGTTGGTGTATGTCTTGCATCACCCCCACCCTACCCCCAAGGGAATTGGGAGGGATTGCTCCATGTGTTTCCAATGACCACGAGGGATGGGGTAGAGTTGAAAGGGGAATTGGTAAAAGGAGGAAAAAGAAGAGGGCTGTAATCCTGATTTAACCTGATAGCCTACATGATGAGGCAGGTCCATAATCTCTCAGGACCTTCATTTCCAGCCTGTAGAATGAGTAAAAATGAATCTCTCCAGGGTGCATGGAGATGATGTTCTAGAAGTGGCATGCTGTAGTAGAACCCAGATCTTAATACAGTGCCTGGGGGAGACAGCATAGCCCAAAGGGAAAGGCAGGTGACAAGGAATCAGAAGACTCCAGTATCCCCTATGTGACCTTGAACAAGTCCTTCATCTTCTCTGAGCCTCAGTTTCCAAACCTACATAATGAGGAAAGTTAGTCAAGATTATCTCTAAGGTGTCTTCTAGTTCTGACATTCTACATTCTCAGGTCCTTTCCAGATCCTTTCTGGCCAAGGTTATGTGGCCCTTCCTGCTGCAGGCAGATGGGGGAGATCAACCCAAGTCCATTTCACTCCTGGGATTCTTTGAAGGATAAACAAAAGGATAAACAGGACTAGGTGTTGGAACCAGAGGTTCCTCATCCCAGCCCACCCCAGCCCACCCCGCATGGTGTCTTCCTTCCTCTGACTGGCCACTGTCTCTCTTTCTTCACAGACACCACAGACTTCCAGGAAAGCTTTGTTACATCTGGGGTCTTCAGTGTCACGGAGCTCATCCAAGTCTCCCGGAGTGAGTAATTGCCTGGCCCCCCAGCACCCATTTGTGCCCTGACCCTGCTGTAATCCATGGGACTCAATGAAGGGATGGAGTCTCAGGAAGGAGATGGGTTTGGGGAAGGACTTTTCAGTGGGGAGGGTGGGGTTCAGTGAAGGGTTGGGGGCTTATTGAGGCAGGTTCAGTAAGGGGATGGGGGCTGAGTGAGGAAGGTAGTAAGCTCAGTGAGGGAACAAAGGATACAGGAATGTGGTCTTAGGGAAGGCATGTGGGCACTTGGAAGTGATGAGAATTCAAGGAAGGGATGGAGCTCAAAGAGGAGATAGGAGCTTGGTGAGCAAGTGGGAACTTAGTCAAGGCATGAGGGTCCAATGAGAGTATAGGGGTTCAGTGAGAGGGATGGAAGGTTTAATGAGAGAACAGGAGTTCAGTGAGAGTGCTGGTCAATTCAGTGAGAGTATGGGGCCTCAGTGAGAGGGACGGCAGGCATGATGAGGGATATGGGTTCAGTGAGAGTGCTGGTCGACTCGATGAGAGGATGGGGCCTCAGTAAGAGGGACGACAGGCATGATGAGGTATAGGGGTTCAGTGAGAGTGCTGGTAGACTCGATGAGAGGATGGGGCCTCAGTGAGAGGGACGGCAGGCATGATGAGGGATAGGGGTTCAGTGAGAGTGCTGGTCGACTCAACGGGGATGGTGGGAGAGGACACACACTGTAGGAATGGTCTTAGTCTATTCCTAGGCTCCATTGCTGGGCTCTCATTCCCTCTCAGATAAGTTCAAAGAGAAGAGACTACACCTTCATTAAGCTGTGAGTCCAGCCCTTGTGGAGAATGGAATCTGAGGCACATCTGGGTCCCCTCAGGCCCCAGCCTCACCCACAAGGGCCAGGGAGCATCTTAAGTAGCTGAGCTAAAATAAAACTTACACTGACAACAAAAATCCTTCCTTCCCCATGTCACTGCTTTCACTACTCTGCCCACTTGGCCACTTCCCCAAAGATGCTGTGTCTTTCCTGTCAGCTGCTTCCCTCAGCCCTGGCCTTGGGAAGCTCCCTCTGGCTAGTCTTCTCTTCCTATCACTGAGAGGCTTCCCCTCTTCCCCCACCCCAGGGCTTCCCTGTTTCAAATCCTACCCCTATTGGGGGCAGTCCTGCTTTGAATGTGACCAGTGCCACTTCCCTCTCCCCTTTCCCAATGGCAACTATCTGCCTGTCCCACTGTCCATCTCAAAAGTGTCTAACTTCAACAATTGCTATCAAACTAAAAATAGAAATATCTTCAGAGAACACCTGTATCTCCTAAACGGACGTTCCTGTAGACAATGGGGAGACAACAGCGAGGAACAGAGATGGTACTGTTCTAGGGAGCAGGAGTCCTGGGTTTTTAAGCCTGCCTCCTAATTTACTGTGGCACTGTTGGCAAATCACTTCCCTTTTCTCAGTTTCAGTTTCCTTATCTGTAAAATGGGGAGATTTGACTAAATGATCTCAAAGATCCCTTCCCGCTCTAAAGATTCAATGATTCCGCTCCTAACTCTCCTGCCATCTCATTTTGGGACTCATTTAAACCTCAGTTTCCTTATTTGTGAGATTGGATTAATACTACCTGCAGCCTCCTGTTTCCCAGGGAGCTCCTCCCCTGCACCCCAGTACTTCATCTACCCCCCTCTTTTTGTTGGTTTTTGCAGCACCTGTGGTGACAGGCACAGGACCGAACTTCTCCCTGGGCGAGTTACAAGGGCACCTGGCCTATGACCTGAATCCTGCCAGCACGGGCATGAGAAGAACACTGCCCAGCACCTCCTCCAGTGGGTATGTTCTCACCCCAGGCACTTTGTCAGGGAGAAGAAGCCAGGAAGGAACCCTGGACTACAGATGGCAGCAAGGGGTAGCAGAGGCAGTGCTCAACTTCAAAGCAAGAGACCTGGGTTTGAATCCCAGCTTTGCCATTGACTAGCAGTTGGGTCCCCATACAAGTCACTTAACAACTATGAGTCACAGTCATCTCACAGGGCAATGATACTATGCTATCTACCTCACAGGGTTGTTGAAAGATCAAAACACGATAATGTACATAAAATGCTTTGTATATAAATATGCCATCATATATCAGTATATAGTCATACATAAATAGCTATCATCATCGTCCCAGCTCTGACATTATCTTCCTACATGTCTCCCCCAAGCCTCATTTTCCTTCTTTGTAAAATAAGGAGGTTGGACAAGATGGCCTCCAATCATGTCCCTCCTAGCTCTGACATTCCATAATTCTACAGTGTACTATCTGTCATGTAAAGAGCCCGGAAATTGAGAATCAGTTTTTAGTACTGACTTGGGCTTGGGCAAATCTCTTCCCTTCCCTGGCCTCAGTTTCCTCATAATACTTTTAAGACTGACTCTGCCATTTAGTACATGTATAACTTTGGGTAAGTCCATTCACTTTCTGAGCCTCAAATTTACTCATCTATAAAATGGGTATAATTCCTGCCCTTCCTCCTTCAAGGGACTGTTCTGTAGTTCAAATAAGGGAATAGATGGGAAAGTGATTTATGTACTGTGCAGATGTGAGGGGTTATTATTACTTCAAGGGTCTGTGATTACAGATCTTGTTTTTATTGCTATCATTCTTCCACTGATGCCCTCCTCTGGTGTCTCATCATTCGAGAATGAAGGAAAAACTACGTGGGACCTACCTCTCAAAGACCATGTCAGTGAAGCATGAAGTCCCCTGACAGGGCCTATCATGCTGGAAAGGCTTTGAGGATGGACCCAACCACAGACTGTGTCTCTTATATGAGGCCCAGTTTCATGAACAGAGAACCTCATTACCACTAGGCAATTAATATATTTTGACCATAGAAACTCATTAAACTGCTTTCGAAGGCCTGTACTCTGTGTCCATGGAAGTAAAGTCTATCTATAATGACAAAATTTTGCATTCTTAAAGAATTGAAACCTAGAATAACCCATACCCAGTACCCCCATTCCTCCTGCAGAAAGGTTATGTGGGCTCCCAAACCTGTAGCCACACCATAACACATGCATGGTATGAGTATCCTACAGCATCTACAGGCTTGCATTCCCTAACCCCAGGAATAGTCCATTCTTTTGCAGTGGTGCAGTGGGGAAAAATGCAGTTTTTGGTATAAAAGGCCCTTGTCGAAAATCCTGGTTCTGCCACTTACTATTTAACCTGTGTGACCATCAAAAAGTCCCTTGACCCCTTTAGGCCTCAGTTTCCCTATCTGTAAAACGAGGGGTTGGATCAGATAGCCTCTAAGGAAGGTTTCTTCCAGCTCCAAATTTACAATCCAATGGATCCCTCCAAAGCTTGGGCACAATCCAGGGGTCTCCCCTCTCCTCCAACCCCTAGGCCTTGGGCTGGGGAAAAAGCCCGTGCTTGGAAGGCCCAGCTGTTACTACGGACTCATTGTGTGGGCTTGGGTGAGAACTTCCCTTCCCTGGCCTCAGTTTCCTCATAGGTAAATGGAAGGAAGGCACTTTTCTTCCCTTTTGGGGAAGAAAACGTAGGGGAGACCCATCTTTTCCCCTCCCTGAGCCTGTTTCACCATGTGCAAAACAGGGGAGTAGGCAAGTCTCTTCCCCTCTCTGGGCCTCAGTTTCCTCATATGTAAAATGGAAGGGAAGCAAGTCCCATCCCCCTACTTAAGCCAGTTTCCCCATATGTAAAATATGGGGTGGGGGCCAGGGAAGGCAAGTTCCAAGTCCCCTCCCCCTCTGTGGACCTCAGTTTCCTCATCGAAGTAGTCTTGGGTTCCCCCCCTCCGCCTCCAGCTCTGACATCCTTGGCTAACATTCCAGGGTTCCCATGATGCCCCTGTCACAACCGGAAGTCCGGAGTTCGATTAAACTAGCCTCACCCCCCCCCGCCCCAGGTCATGGGGTAACTGGACTTCGAATTTTTTTTTCCTCTGTAGGAGCAAACGACATAAATCAGGCTCCCTGGAGGAAGACGTGGACACGAGCCCCGGCGGGGATTACTACACGTCACCCAACTCCCCAACGAGTAGCAGCCGCAACTGGACGGAGGACATGGAAGGGGGGTAGGTGGGGCAGAGAGCCGCGGGCTAGCCGGGCCTTCTTGCGCTGGGCCGGCTGGACTACGTATCCCGATAGGCTGCGAAGCGCCGCCGCTTAGAAGGAGGCCGGAGAGCGCGCTGAGCCTCCTGGGATTGGTAGTCGCGGCTGAAGGCGTTGGGGGCGGGGTTTTGGAGAGCAGTTCCTTCTGGGAATTGTAGTTTTAGGCATACATTCCCAGACAGGCTGGAGTCCCCCCATGGCCGAGTTAGGAAAGTGCGGCCGCCCCAAGCCTGCCTTCAGTTACTCCCTCCCATCCCCCCTACTCCCCGCAATCATCCCTCATTCCCCTTTTCAGTACTGCGGTTGTGCCTTCTCACCTGTCTGGAAAGCGGCCCTTCCTTACCTCCGCTTCCAAGAATCCCCAGCGTCCTTCTCCGCTGGTGCCACCTCCTCCGGGAAGTCTTCCATGATTAATGTTCTCTTATTCTGTCTCAGTCTCAGTCTTTGACCCTCTTCCTTCCTCCCTCCTTCCCTCCCTTCCTCTGTTTTCTTTCCTTTCTCTTCTTCTCCATCTTTATATTTATCTATCCGAATATGTTTTGTCCTTCACTCCCAGAATGTAAGCTCTTTGAGAGCAGAAACTGATTTCATTTTCATCTTTATATCATCCCCAGAGGGAAACCTATCACAGTGCCTTTTTCACATAATAAGAATTTTAAAATATTTCTTGAATTCAGTCCATGCTGCCTTGTGTGGGTCCCACATAGCTGCATTTATGGGCTCTTAACTCTGGATGATGCCATTTCTATGGCACCCTATCCCTGCAGTGTCTATAAAGCTCCGTCTTTAAGAGCTGTCTATGAGATCCTGTCTCTGTGTCTCTGTGGGGTCTTTCCACTTGGGCCTTCGGCTGCTTCTATAGTTTCCCCATCTCGCAAGTTCCATTACTGTATGTCCTCATCTCTGCAGGTACCATTCTGTATATCTGTAGGATCTCTCCACTCAGGTTTTCTGTCATCTCAGTAGTCCCCCCACAACGTCATCTTTGACGTCTCTTCCTGTAACATCTCATCTTTGCAGTGTCCCATTCCTGGGGGTCTCACTGACTTTTCATCTCCCAGGGGTCTTCCTCAGCATGTCTTCTGCCATTCCTTTGGATTTCGCAGAATTGCCTCTGGGGTCTTTGGTACCCTTTTCTCTCAGTAGTCCTCCTACAATGGTCATCCTGTTCAATCTCCCCTCATAGAGGAGGAATCCCCCTTTATGACACATCTGACCATCTATGGAGGTGAGGAACCTGGGGCCTGGAGGCCACATGCGGCCCTCTAAGTCATCGAGTGTGGCCTGCAGGCCCAAGGTTCCCCACCCCGATCTAGGAGTTGACCTCTTTATTCCCTTCCAGCTCAGACCCTAGGGATCTGTTTTGGTGAGGTCATCCCCTCATTCCCAGGAAACAAGTTCATCACCTCCTCAGGCAGCTGGTGCCATTGTTGGACAACTCTCATAGCTGACAAGTTCTTGATTATGTTGTGTGATCTTGGACAAATCACCTAATCTGAAATTGAAATCTTTTTTTTTTACTTTTAAGTTTAATCTGCATTATTATTAATATTTTTTCCATCAATTTGAGAACTGAAATCTGATTCCTTCTAACCCTCCCTCCCCCTATTTCTAACTTTTGTTTGCCAGGCAGAATAAATCTTTTCCCTCTTTCTCATGATAGCTCTTCACTTATTTGTAGACAGTGATCATATCTCCCCCAAGGCTTTTCTTTTCCAAAATAAACATTCATGGTCCCTCCAACTGATCTTTGTATCTGCTGGTGTTTGCTGGTGTTTAATCCCCTCCCCATCCTGGTCACCGTTCTCTGGACACTATCCAGTTTTCAAGGATCTTCCTAAATTGTGATACCCACACCTCCAGTTAGGGGCTGGGGGTGACTGCAGGTGATATAGGGCAATAGAGTTCTATAGATGAAAACACGGATCTCATTAGCACAGTTGATCCAGATTAAGCTTGTGGTCAAACAACCCCTGGCTGTTTACATAAACTACTGGTTAAGCCAGATATATCCTGTACTTGTGAAGTTGCTTTTTTTTTGTTTTTAAAATCTAAAGTAGATTCTTAGATTCAGAGCAGAAAGGCCCCTTAGAGGATATCTGGTACAACTTCCTCATTTTTCTGATGAGGAAACCAAGTCCCAGAAGGGTTAATTGATTTGTGCAAGATCCCACATGCTGTAAATAATGGAGCCAGGACTGGAAAGTCTTCTGACTCAGTCATTCAATCAGCTAGCATTTATCAAGTCCATACTATGTGCCAGGCACTGCAGTGAGATCTGGGGATACAAAAAGAGGCAAAAAAAACCCAACCCCAAAATTCCTGTCCCTGAGGTGCTCACTTAGAAGTCTAATAGGATAAGCAACTTGAAAACAACCCCAAATCTTATGTTCTTTCCCCTAGACCACATTGGGACCTTATATTTACCTCTATTCAATTTCACCTTGTCAGTTTCAGTCCAGAATCCCAGACCCTAGAGAGGAGTGTTTTAGGCTTTTGATCCTGCCATCTTTGGCATTAGCATCCCTCCTAGCTTTGTGTCTTCTGCAAATGGGACAGAGAAATCTTTAGTGAGTGTGCCTATCAGAGACATTGGGAAAGCCGGGTCACTGTGACATAGTGTAAATTGTTTGGTACATTTGGTCAGAGGACCTAAATTTGGGTGATCTGTCACAAGACCTTGGGAAAAATCACACCATCTCTCTGAGCCTCATTTTCCTCATCTGTAAAATGAAGGGTCATGCTCGACGCCCTCTGCAGGCCCTTCTACCTCTAAATCTGTTTCCCTGATCCTTAAAATTTGAACCTGGTGTTTCACACAGAGGGTGAAACAAATAACTCGAGGTACAGAGCACTCTGACTTCCTTTGACCAGAGTGGATGCTGCCCTCCTTTTAAACTTGGTCTCTTCCAAGCTCAGTGTTATGATAATTTGTCACCATTGGGCAGAGGGAATAGAAATCCCATCCATCCTCCTCTTCCCCTGCCGGCCCAGCCCCAGGGACCGGTAACCTTAGCTCCCGTCCTAGCCCAAGCAGCTCCCTCTGGAGTGTCTGAGATGATTGTGGCTGGATTGCTTTCTGGTATGCTTTTCAGCCTTCCTGTCTAGACAGCCCCAACTAGCTGTTCATTAAGAAGGGGGGAGGAGGGGGCTTAAGTTAATTAAAGTGATACTTCCCCCTCCCCCCTCATGTGATTGCTTGTCTCTAGCTTGTGATTTCCTTGCTCCCCTGGGAAGATTTCAGGCCTCGGAGTTTATCTGTCCAGCTTCCCCTCCCCCCAGCTCCTTCCCTCCCCATGCTCTTCCCTTTGCATCTTTTTTATTATTGTTTTCCCTGACTGTCCACTCCCCATCCCAAGCATACAAGAGCAATTGATACTGAGTCTGGGATTCCAGTGTAGTAGAAAGTCTCCTCGATGAGAGGCTTGGATTCTAATGCCTGCTCCCATGTTGATTTGCTGGATTATTTTGGGCAAGCATGGATTTACCACTAAACTTCCCCTCTCAGAACTTAGTTTCCCCATCTGTAAAATTAGGAAATTATAAAAGATAAACGAGATGGTCTCAAAGGCCCCTTCTAGCTCTGACATGTCTAAGGAGACTTCCAGTTCCAGCAGGCTATGGTTTTTACCTCTTTGTTCATAGAGAGGTAGGTTAGCATAGTAGATAAATATTGAAGTCAAGAAGATCTGGGTTCAAATCCTGCCCCAGACTGCCTAAATCCTCCTTTATTAACTGGACAACCCTAGGCAAATCACAACCCCTCTGAGCCACAGGTATCTTATCTATAAAACATGGATAATAATAACCACTTTTTATAGATTGTCATGAGATAGTTTATGTAAAGAAAGTATTTCACAAACCTTAAAGAGTTATAAAAACATGAACAAATATTATTATTATTATTATTATCATTCGGTTCATTTGGGAGATTAAGCGACATCCCACAAGTGGGAAGGGTGGGGTTTAAGCCCAGATTCACTGTTCTCTTTCCTGCACCACACTGCTTGGGCCTTAATTTCCCCATTTGTCAAATGTGTGTGTAACATAGGAGGCACTGAGTCAATACTTAGTGATTATTTGTTGACTGAGTAAAACGAAAAGATTATTTCCCCCCTACATACACACTCCCAAAGTCATGTCTGGGTCCCACAGAACCCCAGCCCTTCTCCACCCCCTCCTCCTAATGCTCACAGTCCAGGGGATAAGTTTCAAGGCGGGGCGGAGAGCCAACGTCCCAGCCCCAGGGTCTGGTCCTGAGCCACTAAGGCATAGCTATTTCAATCCCTGAACAAGATGTTCTAGGAAATCCTTGTAAGTGTGTGTCTGAGTGAGGTCTAACCTCATTACCTTAGCGCCACATGGCCCTAGGAGCCTGCCCGTAGCGATGATGGCAGCCGTAGGACTGTTCCAGGATGTTCTCCCCTCCCCCATCCACCCAGTGCTCTCACTGTCTCTCCTCGTCCCTGCCTCCTCCCTGCCATCCCAGGATTCTGCTTGGGAGGAAAGCCCTGGTTTAGCTGAAGTAGTGAAGGGAAGGTTAGGAGAGGGTGCAAGCCAGGATGAGCTATCATGATCATGATGACTGTTATAGCTGTTAATATCCTGTATCACATCACCTTCATACTCACTCTCTCAGTCAGTCTGCATCACACCAGGCTGGGCAAATAGTGCTAGTGCCTACTTTATAGATGGGGAAACTGAGAGATGAAGTCCTATAACTAGTAAGTAGCAGCTCTCAGCCTGGTGGGCTCTGTGAGGACAGCTAGAAGAATCCTAAAGCTCAGAGTTTAGAGCTGGAAGGGGCCTTAGAGATCATGCAGTCCAATACCAATCAATCAGGAAACCATTGTACACCTGCTCTGTGCCAGGCACTTCAAAAAGAGGCCAAAGGCAGTCCCTGCCCTCAAGGAGCTTACCATCTAGTGGTTGTAAATGATGACAGCATCATCTGGGCTCTGGCAGGGGCCTCTCCTCTGGCCTCCGAGAATGAGACCACAGCCAAGGATTCACTGCTCATTCATTGCTCCTTGCTCCTCGCTGCCTCTTGGAATCCTTAGCTTCTCCTAGGTCCCATGTCAGGCACCACTTCCTGCAGAAGCTTCTCTTGGGTCCGGGCCTTGTCTGTCACTTCCTTCTCAAATGAAATTGTATTTATCTAATTAGATGTTGTGTCCCCTCCCCACCTTCCGCTCCTCAAGGACATGGACTGGGTTTTCATTTTGTCTTTGTACTTTCAGCACACCTAGAATGCCTAGCATAGTTTGTTTGTTTGTTTAGGGGGGTTGTCTGTCCCTGAAATCCCACTAGTGGGAAATTCCCAGTGTGGAATGGGTGCATCTCAGCACACATCTGTACCGTAGAATGTCACAGAGCTGTCTGGGGCATTGAGACACTAAGTGATTTGCGTGTGGCCACACAGCTAGTATGTGTCGGGGCAGAACTTGAGGCCAGGACTTCTTTACACCAAGGCCAGCTCTTGTCCACATTGCTACACTACGTTGCACATAATGCTTGTGAAAGGCAAGATGGATGAAAGCAGGCAGATACGCAAAGCCTCAAAGCCCAGCTCCCCCAGACAGGAGCCAAGAGCCCCAGCTCCTCCCGCAGATATCCCCAGATGCCTCACCCCTCAAATCCATAGTTATTGAAGTGACAATCTCTGCTTCCTCCTTACAGGAATCTCACCCACAGTGAAGAAGACCGAGATGGACAAGTCCCCCTTCAATAGCCCATCGCCTCAGGACTCACCCCGCCTCTCCAGCTACACCCAACATCACCGGCCTGTCATCGCTGTGCACAGCGGTAAGAAAGTGCACCCCGGGGCCGTAGCTTGGGCCTGTGGAAGTCTCCGGCTCTGAAGACTAACGGTGTATTTAGATAACCTCAAAGATTCCGCCAAAAATAACTGAAACAGAGACGAAGCTCCAGCTGCCCCCCTCCCCAGAATTAGCCAGGGCCTCTGACCCTGGAAGGGTCATTTTCTGCTTTCTTCCTCAAGCCATTCCTAGGGCTACCTCCTTTTCTCCTTAATCTCTAAATGAGATGTAAGAACCTCCAACAAGTCCCTGGGTTTCCACTCCTTCATGGGTCATGAGGGCATCCCTTCTTGTCATCTGACTCAGATCCCTCCTATTATAGCCTCCCAGGCTTCAGTCTAAGCCAGACTAGGGAATGAGCTCAGAACCCAGCTCTAGTCCACTCACCAGGAGTGGCTGGGGACAAGTCAATTACCCTCGGTAGAGGCAGTGGAATGTGGTGGAAAGAGTGTTCTTTCTGGAGTCCAAGGACCTGTATTCAGATTCTGGTTCTGTCACTTACCACCCATATGGGTATGTGTGAGAGACTCGAGCAGTCACTTACCTGGGCCTCGGTGGCCCCATTTGTCAAGTGAAGGACTTGGACTGGGTGTCCTCTAAGGTTCTATCCAGTTTTCAATCCTAGGACTCATCCTGTCCAGTGTTCTGTAGCTCACAGAAGCCCCAGACATTCTGCTTCATCCCTAAGACCCACGCCACACATGACACACCTTATCTCCGGGGCTATTTTTACCCTGCTTGACCTCAGAGGGCAGAATTAGGACTAGTTGGGTAGCAGTTCCACCAAAGCCAAATTCTGTTCAGTATGAAGAAAGAACTCTCTAACAGTCCAAGCTGCTCAGCAATGGAAGAGGCTGTCTTGAGAGACAGTGAGTGACCTCCCCATAGCTGGAAACATTTAAGCAGAGGCCGAGTGACTCCTTGTCCAGGCCTTGATAGAGGAGGCTCCTACTTCAGGGTGGGGATGGAGGAGGTCTTTTCCAAGTCTGAGATACTATAAGTCTGTGGTGGAAAGGCTGACTAGTACCTCCCAGGAGCCAGCATTGAGGGCCTGTCCCTCTCTCTGCAGGTATCGCCCGGAGCCCTCACCCCTCCTCCACGCTGCATTTCCCAACCACCTCCATTATACCCCAGACGGCCTCCACCTACTTTCCCCACACTGCCATCCGATACCCGCCTCATCTCAACCCCCAGGACCCCCTCAAAGATCTCGTCTCCTTGGCCTGTGATCCATCCAATCAGCAGCCAGGACCGGTAAGGACCAGAGGGGTGAGAGTGGTGGGGAGGGAGGAGTTGAGAAGGCACAAAGGAAGAGAGGAAGTGAGGGGCTGTTTGGAGGAGCTGCCATCTGGGGGCCCCCCAGCATGGCACAGCAGAAAAAGCACTGGTCTAAAGAGTGGAAGGCCTGGGTTAAGTCAGTCCCCATTCTGACACTGATTGTGTGACACTGGACAAGTCACTTAACGTCTCTGAAAGTCAGCTGTCTCTTCTATACTGTGTGGATAACGATCATAGCCTCATGGGGCTGTTGTAAGGTTCACTCAAGAATCAGGTTGTGAGCATCGAGTGCCAGAGAGAAATGTGAATGTTGTGTTCGTAGCCGTAGTTGGAGGAAAGAGAGAGAACTGCCCGCTAGTTGTTCGACCTTCTCGTTGCCCCTGAACTCCTCAGCCCTGCTCTCCGTTTTTTATACCTTGTGAAGACACCCCACGAAGCAGTGTCTCTGTGACGTTGAGAGGAAATTCCTCCTGAGACCCACTAAACTCATAATGCCTGAGTTCCCTGCCCTGCCACTGTCCCCACTGGCCCTGGGCACCTCCCAAGGAGAACTCAGGGCCCAGGACACTCAGGCAGGCCGTGAAGCGAGGGCACAGGACTGAATACGCCTACAGACACCAAACGAGGGCAATGCCTGGGATGGTCAGTGCCAGCAGTAGGAGGTGGAGGGGGACAGCCCTGGGCACCTGGGGGGGAGGCGGGCCAAGGCCCGTGTGACTCCTGCCGCCCTTCCCCCCGGGCTCCCCTGCCTTCCCCCCTAACCACTTTGTCTCTCTGTTCCCCCCAGTTAAATGGAAGTGGTCAAGTCAAAATGCCCAGTCACTACCTTTCCACCCAGATGCTGGCACCACCACCGCCCCCAGGCATGCCCCGGCTGGCTATCTCCCCTGACACCAAATCTACCACCACAACTTCCGAGGGAGGAACCACATCGCCGACTTCACCCAGTAAGCGTGAGGGAAGCGGTGCCCGGGGCAGGGTGGGCAGCACAGCGCAGCCGGGCACCCCTCCCTTCTCCCAGCCCTCCGCCCCTGGTCACAGTCATACCTGGGGGCTCTCAGTATCTTGAGGGCCCCAGGTAGCAGCCGGCCGAGGCAGGGTGTGGAAGGCAGCTGGTGCGTAGGCCCGTTCCAATGTCCAGGCACTCAGGCAGGATGAGCTTGGTGGGTCTCAGCCCCGATGGTGCTGGGCGTCTCCGTCACAAACACCACTGCAATTGATCCCCCCTCCTTTCCCCACAACACAGAGGGCTGAGGTAAGCAGGGAAGAGGGCCCCCTGGCATCTCTGAGAGGGGAAGGGCGAGGCCAGAGGAGGCAAGTGATGTGAGGGACAGCGCTGCCCGGCCATCAAGGAGCCGGGGTTCTGGTCCTTGCTCTGCCACCAACATGCATCGTGTGTACACGCCTTTGTGGAAAACGCTTGGGCAGACCTGGCTTCCCTTCTCTGGGCCTCAGTTCTCTTCACCTGTAAAATCAGGGGTTTGGACCCTCCCAGTTCTCCATTGGATGGCCTCTGTTCTGTCTCTGACATTCTGTGTTCTGTGTTCTAAGGTCTTCCCCGCTCGTGTTCTATGCTTTGTGTTCCCTTCCAGCTCTGACAGTCTGTGTTCTATATCCTAAAGTCTTTTCCAGTTTCATTGTGCTGTGTCTCATGTTCTGCATTCTCTGGGCCCTTCCAGCTCTGAATCCTCTAATCCACCCCATACCCCTCCCCAGTCTTCATGTTCAGACCATCTGGTCACCTTACCTCCACGCAGGACCTCCATTCCCCTCTTTACTTTCTGTGTCCAACTCCCTTTCCCAGACTCCATCCCACTCCCCTAAACTCCCCTGGGGGCTTCCTGTCACAGTCTCAATCAAGAACTAATGAAATGAAAGGTCAGCCAGCTCCGAATGAACTGTGCCACATACATACACACACATACACACACGCACGCACACATACACATACATGCCCCTGACACAGCAGAACATTGAGTACACACACACACACACACACACACACACACACACACACACCCTGACATGGCAGAACATTGAACACAGACACACACACACACACACACACACACACACACATACACCCCTGACACAGCCGAGTGTTGAGCATCTATTGCCCTGTAACCAACCCCCTGGGGAAGCTTCCCTTGGGACAAAGGAAAGAAACTCTCATTTTCCCTCTTGGGGTCTCTGTGGGAGTGGATAAATGAAATCCAGTCTGGATTCAGTAGAGCGCACGGAAGCAGATGTGGCCTCTCGAATTTTCGAGCCAGAACCAGAACTCAAGCCCAGGTCTCCTGACTCCCAGTCCAGTGCTACCTCCCCCTTAGACATGGGCAGAAACTGAGAGAGAATCTTGGTGTTGGAAAGGACCTCTGAATGTCAGAGCTGGCAGAGGACTCAGAACACAGAACTGAGAGGGACCTTGGGACAGAACATTAGCACTGGGAGGCAGAGCTATAGGCCTTAGAACACAGAATTGGAGAGCTGGAGCTTAGAGACTTTCTGGTTCACTCTACTGTACAAAAGAAGAAACTGAGGCCCAAAGAGGGGGCGTGGCTTGCCCAAAATGATACAGTGATCTAATGGCAGAAGAGGGGCAAGGCCCTAGGTGTCCTGCCCCCGAAAACAGCATTCTTTCCACTTTGCCATCCTGCCTCTTACTCTTCCTTACGGAGCCCCGTCCTGACTCTGCTCAGACTTAACAAAAGCCCAGGTGAAAGCTCTCTCCCCCGCCCCGCCCCCGGGCTCTCAGACTTCCCCTTCCAATACCCTGACCCCCACAATCTGTCCCACCAACCTCTGGTCCCAGCCTATCTGAGGCTGGCTTCCCCAGGCAGCGTCCGGGAGTGAATTATTTACTCACCGATGAAATTTAATCGCCTATATTAAAATATATGTGTGGATGCAAACACACACCCATCCCTATGCACATGCATAGAGGAAAATTAATAAATAAAATGTACTCAATTATTCATAGAGCCCGGAGAGGGATGCAGGTCCAGGCATCAGAAGGGGAGGGGTAAGGGAGATGGGTGGGCAAGGGAAGCAGCTGAATAATTCACAAGTAGTTATGAATTATGAAATTTTTATCCTCTCCCTCCCTGTTCTCATTCACTGATGGGGGGGGGTAGAGAGAAATGATTGCTACACCCGTATACCCCACGTGGTGGCACTGTGCAAGGTAGTTCCCCCCTCCCCTTTTATTCCCCCCACAGCACGCACCTCCTGGGAACATGTTGAGGGCTTTTTTGGGTGTGGGGGCGGTATCCCTTTGGCGAAGTTCTGTGTCAACGCCTGGAATTTCACTATGCCACCAGATAAAATGGTCCAAATTTAGGCTCTGAGCCTGGTGAGACTGAGATCGTAGGCACTGCGGGGGGTGGACAGCTGACTCCCCAGCAGCAGGAGAGAGAGAGCGCTGGGCTTGAATGGCCTTAAGAGGGGCTCCCAGCCTCACCCCCCACTAATGGGCTCTTGATCTCTCTCCTTCCCGCAGCCTACTCTGCGCCCAGCACGCCCCCTGCAAACCGTCCCTTTGTGGGATTAGGACCAAGGGATCCAGGGGGGATTTATCAGGCACAGGTAAGAGCTGAGAGGGCCTGGGAGGGAGCTGGGAGCAGGGGAGCGGAGAACCTGCTCTGGGGTGGTACATGCGTGGCAGCTCCCTTCTTTCTCCCCTGTGGGGCTCCTCAGCCACCCATTGTCCAGTTTCTATGTTCCAGGTCTCTCTGGGCTCTTGGAGGTTGGGGGAACAGCTGGCCAGATGTAGACGGGGGCTAGCCTAATTGCCGGGAAGGTTCAGATTGGGGTCTCTGCCACCCACTAGCTGTGGGGTGAGCTGGAGAAAGACAGCCATAGAGTCTCAGTTTCCTCCTTTGTGAAAAAGGGCAAAGCTTTCCACTGCAAGCTAGCACAGACCTTAGGAAGCCTTTGAGGCCTATGGGAACATAAGCTTTTATTTTCATCATTATCATCATCGAAATTATTTATTACCCTCCCCCCATAGGGTCAGCTCTGGGGTGTGTGCCACCCTGACAGGGACTGGAATACCCAGCTCTTTCTAAGAATTCTGCCCACCTCCATCCAGACTTGGGGGGGGTGCAAATTACTGCATTTGAGAGGGGCATATGCAGGTGTGTTAGGAAGGGAAGAGTCTGCAGGCAGAGGCCACCGCCTTCCAGTTTGGAGAGCCTTTGCCCATCTAGTACTTAGAGGCAACTGGATGGAATAGGAAAAACACTGGACTTGAGTCAGAAGGCCTAGGTTTGAATCCTGGTCCCAACCCTTCCAAGCTGTATGACCATGGGTGAGTCACATCTGAGCCTCAGTTTCCTCACCAATGAAATGGAAAAAGGACCACTCTCATGCCTACGTCACAGTTATTGTGAGGAAAGTTCTTCATAAGCCTTCATGCACTACAGCAATATTAGCTGTCATTATGTTAGTATTAGTATTACCCAGAGGAAGGATCCCGGGCCAACCCAACCTCACTCAGCCAAACTGTGGGTGTCCCTCACCCCGCAGCTGCCTGAGGCATGAAGAGGAAGATGGAATGAGTCAGGGGTTGCAGCAGCAGCAGCCTGGGGCAGCTCTCAGTCCCGTATCCCAAATGGCAAACTAAAGCCAGCTGTTGGGCAAATCTGTGCAGGGCGTGTGGGACCACAAGACAGATCATTAGACTGTGGAATTTAGTGCTAGAAGGCCAGTGAAAGCGCATTCAGTGCAACCTCCTGATTTAATAGCTAAAGAAGCTTGTTCCCAGCAAAGGAAAGTGACTTGTCCAAGATGATACAACTTAATAACTATCAAGAGTCAGAATTTGAACCCTGACCTCAGACTGCAGACCCAATGTGCCTTCCACTCCACCAATAACCAGGAAGGGGGACCCCTGAAGAACAGGATGGAAAGTCCTGTGTTACGAAATGGTTGTTAAAAACTGAGGCAGCCAGGAATGAAAAGGCCTGATGCGGCTTGCTGTTTTGGGTCTGGTTTGGTTTTGGCAGCTCAGGACCATGCCTCAATCTCCCCCTTCAAAACGGGGACAGCAAATTACTTGTAGAACCTTCAAATCCTAGGAACAAGGGAAGAAAGGAGTGCAGCTGGTAGATAAGAAAGGCCAGAGTGTTTGCCTGGAGCAGAGGAATGGGAGGATGGGATGGAGAGGTGGGGAGCAAAGACCTTTTCTTGAGGGGAGAGGGCAGGGTGGGACAGTGGAAAAAGCACTGGGTCAGAGACAAGAGAAGCAGGTGCTACCTTGGGGTCTGTGTGACCTTGGGTAAGTCATTTTCACATCTCTAGGCTCCAGTATCCTAGGAGGCTGGAACAGATGGTGGTGGAAGGTCCCTTCTAGCTTTGACATTCGATGTGGTATATTCTAATATATTTTGCTGCGTTCCAGCTCCAACACGATGTAATAGGAAAAGTGTTGCTCTTGTAGTCAGGACAGCGATTCCTGAATCCTGATCCCAGCCCTTACTAGCTGTGAGAATGGGGGCAAATCACTCACTTCCCCAAGCCTCAGCTTCCTTATCTGGAAAATGGGGACAGTAATGCTTGTACTGCCTGTGTCATAAAGAGCTACAGAAATTTGGAGGTTTATTAGGTTCTATGTTCTAAAGGCATTCTCAGGTCAAAGGTTACTACACTTACAGTGCTGACAATCTGTGCTCTGAAGTCTGTCCCGGCTCTGGCATTCTGGGTTCTAAAGTCACTTCCAGTGCTGATATTCTCTATCCTAAGGTCATTTTCAGCTTCAGCATTTTATGTTCTAAGGTCCCTGTCTTCTGAAGTTCCTCCTAGCTCTGACATTCTGTGTTCAAAGGACTCTCTTAGCTCTGGCACTCTATGTTCTAAGACTCAAACAGTCTATGACTATAGTCTGGAAACTTGCATGTGTTGGGCAAAGATTTCAGAGGGCAAGGAGTATGGTACCTTTATTAATGAG